GGGCATCAGCCGCAGAAGGTGGAGCTTCATCAGCAGGGGCGGGGCATCATCTACAGAGGGTGGAGCTTCATCAGCAGGGGCGGGGCATCAGCCGCAGAGGGTGGAGCTTCATCAGCAGGGGTGGGGCATTGGCAGGCCCTCCCCTCTAAAACAAACTTAGCTGTCAGATTTGGCCCCGCCCCATGCTAAATTATTGTGCCCCTGGCGAATTGTAATGTGATCCAAACACACACGCACCCCTCCCAAAGTGGGATTGTATCCCGAATCCCCCCCCCCCCCCGTTTAAAAAAAAAAAAAAAGTGGCAGAGGGAACATTTCCGTCTCTGCCGTCCCATTTCCGAAGAGCCGGGGAAATCGGCCTCTTCTCCGTCTTCAAAGTCGCCTGCTTGATTCTTAATAAAAAGGAATTAAGTAAATGAGGCATTTGCATATTAATCAGAGGCTCGTAAACGCAGCTCGGGATTCATCAGCCGCTACGTGAGCAAAGCGGGGGGGGAGTGGGGGGGCATCTTGGTTCGCCTCCCGACGAGCCTTTTCGGACAGGAAAGTGGGGCCCTTCAGAGATCCTCTAGGCCACCCCCACCTTGCTCAGGGCAGGGTCAGATTTTCCTGGGTTGGAAAACCCTTTATCCCAGCAGCCCCAAAATATCCGGAAGTGTGTAACGTTTCCGATTGTGATTTCGATTGGGAAGACGGTTCAACCGGGGTGGTTCCGCTGTTCCGGGGCAGCACTTTTCCATGGGGTCCCAATGAGAGAAATGACTCAAAAAGAACAGAAGGAAAACGATGCTGCTAGAAAGAGCTGGAAGCCCCCCCCCCCCCCCCCCCGGCCCCCAAATCCCCGGGGGGGAAGGCCCGGGGAGGCCCTCCCCCCCTGGCTTTGGGGGGCGGGGGGGGGGGCGCATTTGCATTTGCAACTGGTTTGGCCTTTGCAAGATCCTCTTCAAACCTTTCCTGCCCTCAATAATCCCAAAATGGGGAACCGGATGCCACCTCGATGGGAAGGAGGGTGTGTGCCAAGCCTTCTTGGTCCTCTAAAGCGGGCACGGGAAGCCTGATCCTGCAAGGAAGGGCCTGCCTGCCCCTTGCCCCCCCGCCCCCCCCCCGCAAAGGTCCCTCCCCGTGCCCCCCCCCCCCCCCCCCCCCCCCATGGCCACGCCACGCCAGCCTCTCTGGTGGCCTCCGCATTCCAGGCACGTTGCCCGAAGGTGCTTAACATGCAACGGAGGCAGGAGCCGTTTCCTCTGGCAGCAGCTTCGAGTCACCCTGCCCTCTTGCCTTGCCGGGGGGGGGGGGGGGGGGGGAAAGGGGGGGGGGCGGAAGGAGAAGACAAGAGGGACCGGGGCGGGGTGGAGGGGGACGATTTGGGGAACTGAGCACCTGTCTTTCCAAACGGAGCATCTCTTCTGGCAGGGGAGGGGGGCAGCAGCCAAAGGGGAACCCCCCACCCCACCCCCCGGGAAATCAGAAAGGGGTTGAACAGGCAGAGGAGCAGGCTCCAAAGCGAGACCCTCTCTTGGCCCTTTAAGGTTGGGGGGTACTTGGACAGG